CGATGCCGATTCGGAGTCGCGGAGAACCTAACGGGTAACCGGGACTCCGGCTCGACGTGCAGGAGAAGGAACGGGGTGGTTTTTAGTCAGTAAGAGTCTGACACTCCCTTCCGCCTCACCCAGGCGGGAGCAGTCATTCGATGATTTTCCCCCCTTAAAAAAAAAAAAAAGGTCTTTATAGAATACAGAAGGAGAAGATCGTGCCGTGAGTTCTTAGCCTAATACATAAGTTACAATACCTTACAAAATACGCAACATTTGTTAGCAACAGAGGCCGAGACTGCATGACAGATCTCATCAGATATGACCATATGTACAAACTGCGTACTTAATGTAATAATAACCGTAACTTCATATAAAACAAATGTTTTATAGAAACCAACGTACAACAGAACATTATTTAAATCATATTATAAAAAATACCCATCGTAAGCATCCAAAGGAAACTTTAATTAAAAAGTAATCCTCATTCATTAAATTCAACACCTTACATTATAATGGCCGCTAATTGTAGGCTTTGTGGTGCTCACATTTACGTAAATGTGAGTGAGGAACATAAAAAATATTTCTGAATAGTAAACTTGAAGGTGAAACCTAGGAATATGTAGTTTTAATTAAGATACACCGTTTTCAAAACCGAATACAAAGGTGAGAGTACAACCAACGTTTATCTAATATATCTAATGAATCTAATTAAGCTAATACTCAATTCTGTACTAAACTTTAAATATAGTGACAAACTTGTAAATAGACTGCATAGTGCTCGCGAAAGTGTGGATACGTATCGGAATCACTCGGGCAGCGTACACTATGACCGGTTTCTGAGCTTGTTTCAACATCAAAAGCACTTGTCTCCGCTCTTTCACACGCAAATTCTCCCAACCGCAACAGTACACTGCCATTTCAAACTTTTCCGATGCTGTTGTAAGTCTCTGTCCTTGAAAACAATACAAGAAAAATATGAAAAGACTGTGGTAAATCAGCGGAGCGAAGTTGAGACAGACATCTAAAGGCAACACGAAGAATAAACACATAGAAATGGCGTCCAAACCGAAGCCAATGCCTATAGCTACACTGTATATGTCTTCTAATTTTCTGACTGTATGCAAAGCTAAGACATGACGATATACAATGTTCTTTAGACGATCTTCTACAACGTAATATGTTTTATGAGATTTTGAAATATTGGCAAATTCTGTCATATCTTGGTAAAGGATTTGAAATACAACAGTTGTGTGAGAGAACAGAAACAGTAGAGCCACGTCATAACTGCAAACTGCAACGATAGCCGTCAGTTCTTGAAGCGCTAACACTACCATGCAAGCTTGGCGATTTGGTCTGCTGCTCAGCGGTTCCATACCTTGAACAAGGAATGATATTTTAAAAATAATATACTTCTTATAGTATAAGTTAGATGTCATGTTCTAATTTACATACCAACACAAGAGACCGTAGAAAAATCGTCCATTCCAATCGTCCTACTAGGTATAAAAATCATGACATCGTTTACAAAATGGAACATGTAACACATGATCACAATGATTTTGATGCTCTTCATCAGCTTCTGGTGTATTTCTTGAAACCTGCCAGACTCAATGATGAGGTCATCGTTTTTCTTCACCATTTTTAAAAGATCATTTAAATCGTTTCTGCAAATAACATAAAATACTATTTAATACTTATCTATATTCCATATTTCCAGAGAAGCCATTGCCAGAATTTGAGGCTACTTACCCGAATATTTTTTTAATAAGGGATTAAATTAAGAGTAGGAAACGTTCGAAGAAAACATGAAGTATTCAGGTCATTACATAAAACTAGAAAAATCAGCTGGATTGCGTAAAAATATTTGAAAATCAATATTAACTAAGGACAAGCCAAACTTACCTTTTACTGATCAACCACCAGCTGTCATTGCCAATAAGGATAAATACGGAAATATTGAAAAAGCTGTTGATTGAGTCCACAAAGTCCTCAGCAAAGTATGTCTGGTACATTGCTGTACCCAGGAGACATACGTAGAACAAAAGGATTGTGTGGACTATCCAAAAGAAAACTGCAAAAATATACGTTGCTGTAGTACGGCACACATTTTATTACATAATCATTAGGAAAGATGTTATTTAGTAAAAGTTGTGACTGGTGCTATTTAGTGGACCAAACTGTTCCTTGACGTGTACTTACATTTAAACTTTTGACTCAATAAAGGAAAACCAGCAAGATTTGGCAAAAAGTTAATAAGCCAGACTAAATTTACACATGTATTTTGTTTTAAACGATCTCTTATATTAAGGAGTCGACCACGAAATGTGTTCACCATTTTAGCTGACAAACCTTTGACCGTTTTCAACGAGGTAAATGCGAACAATGTAAAATTTATAGTTCAGCGCAATTATATCGCAACTTAGAAAGTGATTAAGGATTGAATAATTAACAAGTCTTGTTAGTTGCATCGGAAACTAATAAGGGTGACAGCTATGTGATTAAACCCTTACGTGGATTAAAGTTAGGTGTTATACAGAATAATAGAGGCGCTAATCACTAACTGAGACGATATAGAAATTATACGGGGCTAATTGGATATAAATTCAATAAAATTTCGTACCACTCAAAGGTCTGCTGCACGGTTTGATCGCACTGACTTTAAAAGAATGCCTGCAAAGATATGACGCAAACAAAAATGAAAAAGAAATTAGTTCGATTTGTTTAATATTTCAATATTTGTCTATCGAGCAAATAGCATCGACCTTGCTGCATGAAAAATGCAGGTTTAATTCAAAGGTATACATAGTTCGAACAGTCAATATTATAGAATCGTCTGGTTTCCATGATTTACAATAATTTTCCTTTTCCTTTTTCTTATCAACTGTCACACGAACTCTTTAGAGAAAAAAAATACTTTTACGATTTTATGATGATTTTTTGTCATATGTATAGCTACGGTACCTTCACTGATATGATATTTATAAATCTATGGGTACCTTAATTTCCAGTCGATTAAAAAGTTTATAATAACTTTAAATTTATCCTATTGTTTGCATATATTCCAGAATTAAAATAAAAAACCCTGTTTATCACTTCGCCGTAGTTAGATAATAAACCTAAAGCGGTAAAACCAATTTCGAAATATACGTTTATAACATCTATGCAATGAATAAAGCTAGGAAATTTCATGCATGCATAAATAATAATGCCATCAATAGTTAGATGCGCTTAAGGCTAGGTTGCATGACAATGCAATAAGCTTCTTGTAGCACTTTCAAGTTGCAAATTGCACCATATGACATATTTATCAGAAGTTGCATTTATGTCTTCGATCTTCTTCCTAATAAATAACTTATACATCTACATCTACACTTAGTAACTTAAGCTTAAGCTTCACATGTAGCCTTTTTTTAAGGGGGGAAAATCATCGAATGACTGCTCCCGCCTGGGGGAGGCGGGAGGGAATGTCAGACTCTTACGGACTAAAAACCACCCCGTTCCTTCTCCTGCACGTCGAGCCGGAGCCCCGGTAACCCGATAGGTTCTCCGCGACTCCGATTCGGCATCAGCCCTGTTGGGCCCCATCCGTGGTGATCTGATGGCTCTTTGAGGCGCGCGCTGATCGCGACGCGCCGTACGCTCGGGTTCACATGTAGCCTGCTGTTATTAGCACAATAGAATTAGATGTTTATCCAAATATTAATCTACTTCGCATAAAAACCTATACCCTTCGACGTCAATATCGTATAGATAGCGAAGTCGCGTCGAAGGGTTCCAAATTTATTGAAGACATTTAATTAAGATTTTCAGCTTTTTCTACCCCAGGATGGAAAATCCTCTTTTTTGGCATAAGCCGGTAAATGAGCAGACGGAACACCTGATGGTAAGCAATCGGCGTCGGCCATGGATACCTGGAACACCAAAGGCGTTACTGGCCTTTTGGGATTAGTAAATTGAAGATTGTTGGGGACTCAGGGATGGGAAAAGGAGGGGAGGGGTAATTGGGCCTCCGGTAACCTCACTCACACGACGAAACACAACGCAAGCATTGTTTCACGCCGGTCTTCTGTGAGTGCGTGGTATCACTCCGGTCGAGTCGGCCCATTCGTGCCGAAGCATGGCTCTTCCACGCTTAAAAATGGAGCCCCCCTCGCCTGGGCAGAGTGAAAGGGACTGTCAGACTAAAACGAACACAATATTCCGTCTCAAACGTGGGTACGAGAGTGCGTGAAAAATATTCTTAAGCAAAAACTGACCTAGATAAATTAAGAGAAAATTATTCACTCAAATCAATTTACAATTAATGTAAGGAGCTACTAAATTATAGCACATAACATAACATTATGCCTTCTAACCCCGAAGGGGTAGGCAGAGGTGCATTACACCATTGAATGCTACCCACTTTTCACTATTATGTTGTGAGTTCCATTTAATGGGCATTGAGCCTATTACTATATACCAGACACAATTCCAGACTCCGTGCACTACTGAAAATTAAAAAAAGTACTCAGTAATTTTGCCTGGCATTTGCACTTGCGACAACTCAGCCAACGAGGCAGTCAGTAAATTACCTATAGCACCTATAACAATTATTCATAAAAACCACATCTTTTTTTTATTATTATTTTTGACAATCACAACTGTATTAAAGCTCTATCTATGTTACATTCATTGAACTGAGTTTGACGCCACAAAAACTAATTTTGTCATCACACCGTAGCAAAGAATACGTTCGCGCACCGTTACGCCAAGTAATTTCGAATTCCGTTAACAGATGGCGGTGTAATACAAAAGGTGAAAACAAATATTTTAAAATCACATGATAACAGAAGGTCATCAGTTCTAGACCGTACATAATTTAATATAGTCGTATCGAAAAACAGGTTTCGCGTTTACACTTTATTTACGAGTGATTTGTTCCAAGAATTGCTAAAGTACCTACCGTCTTGCTTGACGTTTGAGAATGTCTTATTGTCTGTAGGATCATTGCAATAAAATAAATCACTATTTTGTTACTCGTTTTATAAAACCTTGCGAAATATACATAGTTTCTTGATAGCAAGGTTATGTTTGCCTACTTAAATGTTTGCTTGAACATATTTTTACATTCAAAGAAGACTTTCCACACGTTTTTCCTCGACGTGATGCTGAATGATCTCATGGTACCTATGTTTTATTTTCTGGTTGTACATTTTTCTTTTTTGATATGAAATATGCTGCCATTTAAAAACATTCATATTCGCTTCTAATGCGCATCTTTTTACTCCACTTAGTTATCTTGCCATCGCTATAAATTACATATTAATCGCTGCCTATGATAAAATTTCATGAATACTTGTTTACCCATAATAAGTATAGGTAACACTAAAATATATTTTTAGATAAAGGTGAAAGATGCAACTAAAAATTTTTGCGTGGATAATATGACCTCAAAACTGACTATGCAATTATCAAATATATCAGGAGATAATCTCTTTCGACAATCTAATTGCAATCCTGGAATCCTACCCGGTCGAACGTGGCGAATACATGGCTAGTCTTTATAAGCACTAAACATCTTCTAATTGATAATGCTGAACTAAAATTGTTAACCAAAACATCCGATCCAGATACGATCATTTAATAATACCCAGCCATATCTATATGCATATATATAATTAAATGCAAAACTAAACGTATTGAGGAAAATTGTCAACAAACAACCGCTTTAAACTGCACAAAATGAATTTGGGAAATTCCCAATGACGAGATTTGCAGATCTTTAAAATATTTTCAATTTACTTAAAACTAATAAACGAAATAAATACTTTACGTAATGGCCTAACTGTCAACGTTATGTCACATAAGTTGAAAATCGTAACTCTGAGGATTTTCCCCTCGCATTTATAACGGCTTACACAACAGTAACATTTCGAATACCTACGTCTTCGTAAGTATATCCTTCGCTATACATAGGATCGTACTGGAGATGACAACAGAGTTAAATGCAATTTTAAACACTGCAGAGGCCTTAGTAGCAGAGTGTGTTTGATGTTTAAAATAATCGAAACGAGACCGCGTTCAACGCTTTGATTGGACGGCTCCAATGAACCAACCAATCAGAGCGCTGCAGATGCCCATCGCGTACTACGCGATGGGCATCTGCGGCGTAGATTTGTAGACAATAAACTGAATTCATATTTTTGCTTCTTTCGCTTTCTAAGAACCTTTTAGGCATACGTTTCGTCGATTGTATTGTAAGACACGGACTATGCTATTTCATGCGACATTTTATGTTTATTTAGTGCAGGACATAATCAATGTGCATTTACAATTCATTATCATCGTTATCAGCCCGCATTGAGCAAGCGTGGTGATTAATGTTCAAACCTTCTACGTGTGAGAAAAGCTTTGCCCAGCAGTGGGCATTTATAGGCTGTTGATAATGATTATCAACCCATATACCAGCCCACTGAGCTAAGTCTTCAGCTCTTCTCATCTAACCACTGCCGGCCACCTCGCAGATGGCGTCACTCCACGTAGCTGAAGGGCGCGCTACACTACGTTTGCCTAGACGCGATCTCCACTCCAGAACAAGTTTACCCCAATTATTATAAGTATTTCGAATTATTTAATTGTATTCAACTCGGAGTCATTCTACTGATATCCTACGGAGAAAAACAAATTACTCCACTGGAACAGAGATTTGCGCCTTTGTCACTGCACGCTTCTTACAAATACGCCATACGAAGCGCAGTGAAACACTTCACTATCGGAGATAGCCTGAAAACGTTTTAAAAGCGTAAGCGTAGATCCATTACTACAGCTAGAATAGATACTAAAACATTTTCTCTTTATAATCCCAAACTAGATTAAAGATAACCTTAACACGATTTTTGAAGGAGATGAATTTATAACGCATGCTTCGAAAATATAATTGATCAACATTTTATACGATTAGGACGCTCGCTGTTGTTTTTCAATCGTAGCTTATCAGTGTATTATACGATAAGCTACGTAATAGTATTTAGGTAACCGATTTATAATGGCATAATGTTTTGTTTAACGGGTTCCATTTAGAAACTCGAATGAACAATGCATGTCAAGTATTTTCTGATGGATATGCCGTTTTATGAAGCGCATGCGATGAGATTTTCATCAAGGTGAGTACTTTAAAGACTTATTCGAAAAAAATTAAGTATTGCGAAGATTTTAAACATTGTTTCATGACAAAAAAATATTATGTAACTACTTTTATGTAACAAAAAAATATATTTTACACAACTCAGCCACTCAGCTAATAATTCATAACAGGTTATTTTTATAAACTCACGTATTTCTACTAAATTACAAAAAAAGACATATACCTAATATTA